TATTGAACTTGTTAAACTTTTTGTTTTGATTTAGTTTGGTCAAACCAAACTTTGAGAATTGTTACAATTGTTAAAATTGTTGAAAAAGTATTTTAGTTGTACTACTTATGTATATATATAGAACATAGGTGAGTATATTTACCTATTTAAACATGACTGAAGTTTTTAACTTGTATAAGACACAATTTCACTGTGTGGCGACATGGTAAGTTTGAGTAAACTCGCTCGAGAAGGGTGAGTAACTCAATAACTTTCCTAGCCACACAATTTCTTAGTTTTAATATTGAGAGGACTGCATAAATAACTGATCATACTTGGTGAGTGACGTTAGGTTAATTTTAACGGGTGCGTGGCCGTGCCACGTCTCAACTTTTTAATCACAAAGAGCGAAAAGAATTTTTATGGCAAGACGACGTAAGTAGTCAGAAAATTTTTTTTATCTAGGACACTCCTCATGGTCCAAATTTTGTGAAAATGTTGAAAGGCAGTGAAATGTAGTACGATGCCATTTGTGAACACGTAGTGAGTTGAGGTGGAGTAGATAAATTTCATTTTCTTATGCGATTTGTAAGATTGATTATAGAGAACTGGAACACTACTTGACGATAACCCGGTGTTATGCGATCAATAGGGACATTGATGGGGACTTGTCCGGGGAGTATGTGCCATTCTGCTAGATGGCACAGCGCAACCTTCCGGCGACACGAAATAAAATGAATAAAGGCTTTAGGAACGAAAAAGTATTGCGAAGGAGGGTAGGAATATTCTAGAATTCTTATTTTTAAAATTTCGATTGAATTGTGGATATTTCTCGGAAGTACAAAAAAGACGGCCATTTTGACGAAAAACGACGAAAAAACAGAACAACGACAAATATTGTGGAAAACGGTCGCACAAGAGACGAAAAATACAAAGCCTCTTACCGTGGCAACAACACGCGATAAGACTCTTAGCAGCGGATATTAGTGGAGAAGGAAGCTTCAGTGGGGAAGGAATATTTCACGGAACCCTCCCGTGCCACAAATTGGAAGAGAAAAGGACGTTATCTCAGGAAGATTACGGGAGCGTAGGCTTGGTCCCCCAGAGACTGTTTTATGTGAAGGGACTATATAAAACTAACTTTGTAGCTACTGGATGTCGTAGAAAACTGAATTAACACCGGTATTATTTGATATTTTAGAATATGAGTAGCTAGAAAGAGGAAAGGGTCAATCCATCTCCAATGGATTTAATATAGAACTGTCACACAAAAACATGTTAAGATAGGTTGTTCAAGCTGTGTTTTTAATGGCAATCACGTAGTCTGAGGATCCGAGACTCAGCTATGTGGTTGTGTTCGCATGTAAACGAAAGCTGATCAAAATTCGTTTGACTGATGGCCTAAAAATAGTAACTTTTTACTTAGCCCTAAACAGACCAGAAAAGCAACTGGCAAGGTCGAGACGGTGAAAAACGAGTAGGATTAAGGTAACTGACGCCTGCCAGTCGTTAATAGGTACTTTTTCTACGCTCCGTCGCTGTGTAGTATTTGGGCGAATGTTACAGTTAGTAGAAGACGGTGAGTAGTCTTCGTTGACTATCTGATAACCAGTATTAGTAATATTGACAAAATGCGGAACAAGTTGAGGATTAATTGGCAGAGAATCAAAACACACAGTCCCACCAAGAGTAAACAAGACGGCAGTGTTACACGGTGGGACAACAGATTTCTTATAAGAAAAAATGTTTCAAGCATTAGAACATTGAACAGGCGTGACGATTGGAGTTGTAGCTGACAACCGCCATAAGTTTGGATCACTTGTATAGTAATCATTGATGTTTCGTGACACTGTATGCGTTACAAAAAAAATGATATGTTCCATCTGGACTGGCGATGCATGGTAATTAGGTGCCGCAAGAAAAACCGGCGGTGGCCTTACTCCAGAAGATCAGAAGTCACCACCAGCTAATGCAATTGACAAAGAAACAAATTCAGTACCCGATTGTGCCGGTAACAATGTGACGAGTAATAACTTAGGTCGCCCGTTGGCAAAACTACCATTAGTTATATTTGAACTCATGATCTTCAAAGAAACAGCAGAAGGTGGGGCAACACGTGTGCAATAGAACACATACTATTATTTGGAAATGGAACAGGCGGAACAGAAGTTTGCAATAGCAGAAAGCTTGCACTGCCAAATCGAGGCATTGCTCGCTGTTCATATTATAGACTCAAAAGTCACTCGATGCTGTGTGACCATGGCTATGCCGATTACTTGAGTCACTTGGATGAAAAAGACTGGCAGATCTTGCCGTTTCTGATGTAATTGGTACACGAGTGAAGGCGAGCAAATTTTGCTCACTAGCACTGTCAGGAGGTGCCTGTGAACTAACAGAGTCTACCCAAGCATCAGTTCGATCGGTTGAAATTTTGAAATGGGCTGACTTATTCAAGTCATTTTATTTTCCTCTAACTCCTCGCTAACTTGAGATGAACTATCTTCTAGGTCAAACGCTTTCATTTCCATTTCATTCAATTGCTTTTATTACTTTCAGCAAATTGTTCCAGTTCCAGCTGACTTTGCTTGAACTGAAGACGGTTCTTTTGCTCTTTCAGCCTTATCGATACTTGATACTGCCTTTTCAGCTCCTCGTGGCGTAGCTTTACCGAAATCAACTCATGCCGTTTCTCACTAGACAACATAGTGTGAATATTTGACGTATGATGAGTGGAAGCAGATTTACCAGACTCATGTGACTCAGACAGTGTTTTAACACATAATTAATTCGAAATTATTATTCAAAAATAATTACAAGATGGGGGACTTTGACGCCTCAAAGCCTCTGCCTGAAACATTTTTTAAAAACTTTTCGAGCTTTTAAGTGGTAGGCGCTTACGCTTCTTACCGGTTTTAAGGATATTGTTATTAGCGCTACAACACATTAGAAGAAGAAGAGTCTTTATATCAAGAGAGGGAGTCTGGTGAAGCTCCTTGTACTTCTCAGCTAGTACCTGGTCATTAGCCTTACGCTTAGAGATAAGCTTTGACGAACTTCAAAACGATAAAACTTGTTGAAACTTTATTTTTCTTAAAACCATCAGTTCCGTTGCGTCTGCAGTATACATATTTTTCTCATACCTTAAAAACCAATTATTCTGCTCCCTGCTCAACTTGTGGTTGTTGTTGCTGTGGTCCTACTTAGAGAGTTATTAGTGGCGTTTTGCCAAATTACAAGGCCGTTACGGTAAAACGACTAGAGTTTTGCGGCGCGCGTTATCCAAGGAACTAGCTTCTAGAATGATTACCCAACATTTAAGGGACCTATGTTATTGTGACGGCTACGTTATGGTTAAGTACCATTGGGTTTGGTAAATTAAGTAGGTCGGATGGACACCAACAACAGACACGGAGGAAACCTGAGAAAAAAAAGTTCAACTTAACCCACTCAATATCACCGTACCTGACCACTTAACTTTAATTTCACGCAGCGAAGTCAATATTCGGACGAGAGCAAACGGCTTTGATACACTTGGAGCAAACTGGCTTTCTCTTTTATCACAGGTGGGTGGAGGGTCAGGCAAATTGGTTAAGTTCAAACAACACAGGCGGAAGAAACTTGAGAATGAAAAAACTCAACTTAATTTGCCTGATATTTCACTGCCAGACCATTTATGATAAGATTGGTGTATTCTCACAGCACACTTTTGCAGACTTCTTGGGACGTTTTGAGGAGTTTTCTGCTCTTTTCACATAATTTTTCGGGAAATGGTTATCAGCGGGTTCGATTCATAAACCAATTCAAAAAATTTATCTCGTGCCCCTCGTCAATGTTCCGATTTTACATGTTAAATTTCCGCTCACATATAAATAAAATTTTTCGATATCGAGAAAATTGTCAAAGTACCGATTGTAAGAATTTTTAGTTCAACTAAGCCCAAAATTTTTCAAAATTAAAAAAATACCGGGAGCCAGCTTTTACCAAAATTTTTAACGTATGGGACATCGTAAATACTTTTATATCATCAGGCTAGTGTTTCAAAATTGGTCGAGTTTGACAGTTTTTTGGAGATTGGGTGTCAACGTCTTCGGGTGGTGAACACTTTGGTCAGACACAGAGTAACTCTTCAGCAATTCAACTCGCACACACCTTCTGTAATTGACCCCCTGTCTAATTATCTGGATACCTGACTCAAAAGATCACTGCCTTCAATTTTCACTGCCTTCTTGATTGTCAACTGATACCAGAGAAAAGTGTTGTCTGGTGGATCGTGTCGTGTACGGAATTTAGTCGTGTCGGTCCGTTGTGGGGCGCCAAAATGTTAGCACTCAATCTCCGTAAACCGGTAAGAACTGAAGGTTCAAATGATTGAATTAAAGAGAGCATTTATTGGTAAATTAACTCTCCGAAAATCCATAAACCAAGTTTCATTTGAATATAAGATCAGCAAAAACACCAATAATCTGCCATGAAAATGGTACAAATCGGCGCAAGCTAGCCACATGAACCGGTAATAATGTCCTTGAGAAAAACTGTTTTTTTGACGGTCAGCCTCGATCAATCAAGGCTGAACCGAATTAGAACCAAAAAAACAGAAAAAAAGGTTAAATATGTTGAGAACCCCTTTTTTAGTATGTTAATACAATGGCCCGTGGGAGACTCAAAATGGTCTACTTAGTTTTGGTTTATTTAGAATAGTCTGCTCAGCCATCCTGTTGCATATGCATTTATACTCTAGTCACGTTTGCGTTGCAACAAAACATAAAGTGAGCACCTCGACCCGGTTGGATGTTTTCTCCGCATTTTGTCGCAATCTAGATTGATTGGGACCATTGAAGTCTGAATATAAAACTACGACTTCGGTTTTTGATTATCTCAAAATTTGAATGTCCTGAAACTTCTACAAAAAAGACTAATTTTAATACAAATAAGAGTTTTTATTTTCTGCAGCTTTTCAATCTAAGATGTATCTATAAGAATCAAGTAAGCTTCAACTTTATGGCCCAAGTTTTATTGCTTAGTTTCGAGGATGGCTCCTACGCCGATTATGACATTATAATACTTTGCACTGGCTATCTGTACCACTTTCCTTATTTGGAAGAGTCGCTGCGTCTGAAAACGAAGTGCAAGATGGCAGTTCCTCTCTACAAACAAGTAGTGTTCCCCAAGTGTCCTAAACTGTTCTATATTGGTATGCAGAATGTCATCTACAGTTTCTCGATGTTCTGGATCCAGGGTCATCTCTGTGCCCATATCATAAATGGTAAAAACATACTAAAGTAAACTGTTTCGCTATCTTAATTTATTCCCCTTCTTGCAAAAGTAGGAAATTTTGTTAATATGTAGAATATGACCCAGGTTGAGTAATTGAAATAGTCTTTTGTAGGAACTGTAGTTCTTCTTTATTATATGTTTTGGATCTACTTAACAATCTCCCCCCCCCCCACCCCCCTATTGTACCTAACTTAAGAACCTCCACCCCTACACCCCTATAAATAAATACAGTAACTTAGCACTGAGCATTCTATTGAGAACTCTAATTTTGCTGCATTCTGATTGGTCGAAAAATTGACCATTTTATGGACGATTGCGAGGCCTAGATGTATAATTTGTGAAATTTTTGTTTCAGTGGTTTAGCAGCAGCAAAACTCAAAACAGCAGCTAAGTCTTTTGATGTTTGTTTTGGCTGCGGATAAGACATAGAATCTACAAAACTGCGGAATCTGGAATCAATATTTTTCTAATTTTTGCGGATTTGGTGACCAAATGTTAAACATTGTAGATGCAAACCCACGGTTAAAAAGTTAGATGTTACCCGCACTGACAAACTTGAGATTGAAATCGATTTAAATCGACTTTTATGCTGATAAAATACTGAATAGAAATCGATTTTTGATAGCACATTTAGATGCGTAAACTGATTTAGAATTGTTTAAAACGAACTTTTACGACAGAAAAAAAATCAATTTTTTGCATAAAAAATGGATTTAAACCGAATTAAATTGAATTTTGCAAAACTAAATAAATTAAACACAAATTAGGTTACATAATGTTTTTTTTTCTGCTTCGGAACTTGATCAAAATGTTCTACTCAAGAAAGTCTCAAGGAGAACTGCAGAGAGCAACAGTCACTCGAGGAGAGTTTTGTACGACAAACTTTTGCGTTTAAGAGATTCCCTTTCAAAGTTTGCAAAAGTAAGGGTTCCCGCGGTAATGAAAAGTAAAACTATGCACAATTTTTTCAAATGTTATTTGTATCATTAACGTTCTAGGCTGAATAATGTTAGGTAATTACCATATAATTAACACATCAAATAAGATTTTTTTGTGCAGAAAATATAGATATTAGCTATCCTCATAGCTTAAATTCGGGCCAAACATCATAACGAAACCTTATTTGAAAAGCATATGTATTTAGTTCCGCTTTTTAAACTGTTTTGATGTTTACAAAGTCTGTATAAAATCTATATATAATCTGTGGAAAAAATGAGTATACAAAAAACTAGTTAAGAATGGATTTAAATGGATTTAAATTGGTTTGTTGTTACTCAAATCCCTAGGAACATGAAAACAAAAAACGTTGACGAAAAGGATTTAAATCAACGTAGAGTCGATTGAAATGATTTTTAAGTTAAATTTTGGTATTAAACTTAAATTGAATTGATTAGATTTTTTCAAGGTCTCTGCTACTTTATCTGTATTAAATCGATTGCGATCCACTTTTTGTCAGTGCGGGAAACAAATGTACGGACTCCATAATTTTCGCTAGTGAAAAAATGTCCCCTACATCTATATTGTTATCAATTAAGTCCAATGCGGGCCTGAAACTTCTAAGAGTATGTGCAAAATAAGCTCACTAAAACTCTATTTTACAGTTGTAACCGTACGAGTCGCGGCAACAAGAAGCATAGAGCTAAAAGCGAGTTTCAAAAGACTTCAAAGCTCGGTAATTTCTGATTTTCTCAATCCGGGTTGAGGCGTTCGACTAATGGGTTCAGTCAACAGCCCTTTTCGTCAAACACAATTTTCAATTATGGGTCAAGATCGAAACGCAATCGAACACTATTTTGAACCTTTTTTGAACACAAAATCGAACACAGAGATCTCAAGGTCAAACACAAAACCAAAAAATAATCTTTACCGAAATAAAATCTAACACAAATTTGAAACAAATCTAATATCTCGAGCTGGAAAAAGTTTGATTTCGTTTTTTTTTGTTTGCATGCAATTGTATGAAACAGTTGCAATTAGCAAAACAAACATGATTTGTAGCTTTGGGAATCAATTTACGTTGACTAGCAGTTTAAATGAGGACTACAGACAAGACAACCATCCATTACGGGGCCAAACTGTGTATTTTGTGACTCCCCAACAAGGACGCGCTCTTTTGTTCTTCTTTTGTTCTCTCATTTTCTTTGATCGTTCCGACAAAGTGTTACCAAGCTTAAAGACTTGCCTCTGGAATCCAGGAACATACAAACAAAAAATTGTCCACCTACCCGAGTTGACCTCTATAGACCGAAAATGCTAATCATACAATTTCATACGCTTAGTCTATGGAAAAATGCTAGTCCTACAAATTTCATACATTTTTGCAAAATGAGTTTAATCGAGTTCCAAAGGTATTTTATAGTTGTTTTGGTATCGAAATTGGTATCTCTTCATAAAAAAAGGGAAAAAAATGGTATGAAAAAAAATGCTAGCCATACAATTTCCATATATGGAAATTGTATGATTAGAACTTTTTTTAAAATTTTTTTCGTGAAAAAAACCTTTGAACAATCAATTCAACTGCTGGCAAAACATTTAAAAATTTTTTGGGCTGCTACGACTGAAAACTTTGACTTTTTTTGTTTTTGTTTTCTGAAAAAAAAACACCAGTCATACAATTTCCATATATTTTAGAAATTGTCCCCAAACATTTTTTTTGTGTCTTTTTTTCAAGCGCAAATTGATTTTGGTATCCAAACAAACATTTTTTGAAAAAAAAAATTTTGCATGCAAAATTTAATTGTTTTGTGTGTATAACGTAGTCCTGGATGTACTAATATTGGTTTTGTTTTCCTTTTCTCTTAATAACTTTTTTCAAAAACGCTTAAAACTCCTCTTTCTTTTGTATGACATGTTTTTGTATGCCTTGATTGATGTCTGGTAGTTTAAAAATTCAAATTTTAGAAATAATCATCTTTTAAAAAGTTAAAAGCCAAAATTTAAAAGTTCAATACTTTCGTTATATCATTTGTCTGACACAGAAGTAACACATATCAGGCTTTTTCCAATGCATTTTTATTGCAAGGCGGTCAAACCGTTGGTTACTACGTTTGAGTAATCAAGGTTTATGTCATTTGTGTTCGGTTACGAACACAACCAAAATTTTGAGAAACTAAAATGTAAAAAATCAATATTTTTGGTTTATGGAAAAATGCTAGCCATACAATTTCCATATATGAAAAAATACTAATCATAGACCTTTCATGCAATTTTCTGTACGTATGGAATTGTATGGAAAGTGTATGACTAGCAGTTTTCCATATATGGAAATTGTATGACTAGTATTTTTGGTCATCCCGGGTATCCAGTGCACAGTTTGGCCTCGTTATGTCGCCAAGGCATGCACCGATAGTTATTAAAAAGAAAACTAAGCGTTTTTTGGATAAAGGACCAAAATTGTTGCCGTTCAAAACAGTTAGCAGCCGACCGAGTCAAACATAACGAATGAAATTAAAACTTTGCTCAGAAATTAAAAAGAGCAAAAAAGCCAAAACACTTTTACTATTTTCAATGAAGCTAAAAACCCGGTTGACCTTCATAGACCAAAAATGCTTGTCATACAATTCCATAAACTTAGTCTATAAAATAATACTAATCATAAAAACTTCATACACTTTGCTAAAAAGTTTTCATTGAATTTTCGAAGCACTTTTTTCTTGTTTTGCCTTAAAATTCGTTGCATCGTACCAAATAAAAAAACTAATTTTTGACAAAAAAAGCTAGTCATACAATTTCTTTGAGTAACCAAGGTTATTGTCATTTGTGTTCGGTTACGAGCACAACCAAAAAATTTTGGGAAATTGAAATATAGAAAAATCAATATTTTTGGTTTATGGAAAAATGCTATTCATACGTTTTCGATATATGAAAAGCCACTAATTGTAAACTTTTCATGCAACTTTCTGTAGTTATGGAGTTGCATGAAAAAGGTCTGATTAGCGTTTTTCCATATATGAAAATTGTCTGAATAGCACCTTTGGTCAACCCGGGATTGTTTTTGAATGCTCACAATTGTTTTATGAACCACAAAAAATCAGTACTACAAGAAGTGGTAGGCAAACAGTCGTATCAAGTATAAAAACAATTGTAAAACAACAGTCCTCATTTTAATAAAGAAATTAAATGAAAAACACAGTTAGCACCTAGTTTAGAGCTGAATTTTCAAAAAAAAAAATTTTTACGATTCTTGTTTCAATTTTCACGAATCGACTATATCAATGAAATTTCAACGATAATCGGCGTAAAATTTTATTCGCTCAAAAAATGGTTTTCATTTAGGGAATATAAGCTATTCCTTGATATTCAAAACTCATAAGCTCCAAACATACAAAAATTTGTAAACAAGTTTCAAGCAATTTGCACGCAAGTTATTGTCTAAATTCCATTAATTTCTGATCGTATAAATTCCTGTCGTCTAAATTCCTGAACCCCGTCGAGAAATATAGTCTATTGTCTTCAAGTCGGTTGAACTAAAACTATTTTCAGTCTAGACGATCGAAACATAAATCGAACACCTCAAACCGGGAATAGATTTTCCTTAAACTCAGCTATCAAAACACTAATTTGATTGAATTTAGCCAGTTCGCCAATTGTATGCTAATTTGAAATGAACATCCTTGAATTATTTCCGCCAAAATCAAGGGTAGTTGGATGCTTTATTGATCAAACTTGATCAAATAATGTTTGAATGGTTTTTCGAAATTTCTTTTTACCGGTACATGACGACTAGCATTTTTCATATTTATGCTACATCAATGAAATTAAATGATAGCTATTCTCATGCGCGAAGGACCGAATGAGCGAAAAAAACTCGTGATCGAAGGACCGAAAACAAATTTAGCCGAAAGTCAATGTTTAAAAAGAAGCTATTGCCATTCAATTAAATGAAGCAATGTTTAGTTTCTTCCATAACGAAACCGTTGAAATATAAAACTTGTTCCAATTCAGCGGCAGTCAGTGACAATTTGAAAATTTTGAATTTTTCTGCCGTTT